GGTCTCGCTCCTGCTCTTCGACGGCTGGCCCCAACCCCTGACCTTCGAGCGATCCTCCCGCCTCAGCCTCCTCTTTTTTCTCTATATATTTTTATTGGCGGCTAATTCTTTGTATTTTTTTTTTTTTAGTAGGAGACGGGTCCTCGCTCTTGCTGAGGCTGGCCTTCTGACCCCTCCTGAGCTCAAGCGATCCCTCCCTCCTCGCCCTCCAGAAGTGCGTGGGACGACAGCGCGAGGCCTCCGCGCCCGGCCGCTTGCGTGGATGTTCTGAAGGGACGACATCGTCACACACTTATCGGGCTACGGGGGACAGAGAGGGGAGGATGGAACACATAGAGCACGTCCGGACAGCCCGCGGCCTACCTGGGACCCGGGACCCAGACACCGTTTGTACTCAGAAGGCGAGGGGCTCGAGGTCACACAGCTAGCGGGAGAACGGGACAAGGCGTTAGGGTCGAGGTCCTGCCGGCCCCTCGGCTTCCCCTCCCGGCCCCCATTAGTTGTCGCAGGGGGACGGACAAGAGCGGCCAGGCCACCGGGTCCCCAGTGATCTCTGCGCTTCGGCCACCGCCCAGGTGACAAGCCGGACACCAGAACCCAATGGCGGGAGAGACTGTCCCTTCGCTGGGACCCAAAGACAAGGCGAAAGCTGGCGCCTGGGACGTCGGTCACTGCGTGCCTCGCCGTTTAGCCTCATTTAAAACATTCAACTTTTTTTGTGTTTTTTTTAATTGTGATAAAATGAGATTTAATTTTTTTTTTTTTTTTTGAGACAGAGTCTCGCTTCTGGATCGCCCGGGCTAGATGAGTGCCGTGGCGTCAGCCTCGGCTCACAGCAGCTCCGACTCCCGGGCTCAACTCCAGCCTCCCGCCTGCCTCCCTCCCGGGTAGCTGGGCTAAGGCACAGCGCCCACCACAAGCCCGGCTCGTTTTTCTCATGTATGTGTATTTTCAGTCGTCGGCTCATTTTCTTCATTTTAGTAGACACGGGGTCTTGGGCTCATTGCTCAGGGCTGTCCTCCAACTCTGACCTTCAGTGTATCCTCCTGCCTCTGGCCTTCCCCAGAGTGTTAGGATTACAGGCGTGAGCAACTGTGTTCGGCTAATTTTTTTCTATATATATTTTTAGTTTGGCCCAACTAATTTCTTTTATTTAGTAGCGGCCGGGCGCGGAGGCTCGCGCCTGTCGTCCCCAGCACTCTGGGAGGCCGAGGAGGGAGGATCGCTTGAGCTCAGGAGGTCGAGGCCAGCCTCAGCAAGAGCAAGACCCCGTCTCTACTGAAAAAAAAATACAAAGAAATTAGCTGCACAATTGAAAATATATAGAGAAAAAAGAGGAGGCTGAGGAGGGAGGATCGCTCAAGGTCAGGAGTTGGAGGCCAGCCTGAGCAAGAGTGAGACCCCGTCTCTACTAAAAAAAAATAGTAAGAAATTAGCCAAACAAGTAAAAAAGGGAAAAAACGAGCCGGGCATGGAGGCGCATGCCTGTCGTCCCAGCTACTCAGGAGGGAGGCTGAGGCAGGAGGCTCGCTCGAGGTCAGGAGTTGGAGGCCAGCCTGAGCAAGAGCGAGACCCCGTCTCTACTAAAAAAAAATAGAAAGAAATGAGCTGGACAACTAAAAATATCTAGAAAAAAATTAGCCGGGCACGGAGGCTCA